TTGGTTTGGTTTGGTTTGGTTTGGTTTTTTTGAGACAAGATTTCTCTGTGTAGCCTTGGCTATCCTGGATTCGTTTTGTAGACCAGGCTGTCCACCACCTCACAGAGATCCCCCTGCCTCCACCTCCCTGAGTGCTTCGATTACAGGCGTGCGCCACCTCGCCCAGCTGAAACTCTCCTTTTCTAATTAGTTAATTTTTTGGCCTGTGTGAGAGTACACATGTATGTGTGTACACATGTTTGTGTGTGCACATGTTTGTGCGGTTCACGTGTGTGTGCCTGCAGGTGTGTGTGGACGTCAGAGCTCAACATGGTGTACCTGCCTCAATTATTCTCCATCTTATTCTTCGAGACAGGGTCTCTCACTGAACCAGTATCTCACCGGTTTGCCTACACCAGCTGGCCAGTGAGCCCCAGGGACTTCCTGTCTCTGACTGCCCCACCGCCACCAGGTGCTGGAGCTGAAGGGACATACCCCTGCACCCAGCTTTCATATCAATGCCGGGACTCCAAGTGAGGTCCCCAGCCTTGCTCATCAAGCACTTCACTGACAGCCATCTCTGTGACGTCCCAACTCCCTACACATCTCCCTGACATTAGAAATGTGAGTCCAGCGAGGGCAGGGAGCTGTCGTGGCCACAGCTGTCCAGAGCCTGTGGTATCTCCAGCCCATGGAGATGCTTCATAAATATTTGTTGGCTGAGTAATTTGGATTATCACCATCTCCGTTTTTGGCAGAGGCTGGGCAACATTGATGAACATGCTCAGAGCAAGGCTACTGCGGGGATGGACAAGTCTATGGTTCCTTCCATGCTGGGGTAGAAGCCAGGGGCTGTGGGAAGCACCAGAGTCAGGGCCAGAGGCACTTCCAGCAGGCAGGCTCTGGGCTGGCTTGCTCTGCTAGACACCTGTGTGCTTAGCTGTGCACAGCAGGCATTTGTGTGCGTACATACCCAGGCCCACACCCCACATAGAGGGAGTGAGACAGTGCCTCTGGATGTCAGGAGAGAGTGAGAAGCCTTCAAACCTTAGGGCAAAGTTAAGGGCAGCCAGACCCACATTGCTGGACACCTAGTACAAATCCTTCCATTTGTGGAGAATCTGAGGACAGGGAAAGGGACAACCCAGAACTTCAGGCTGGGCTGAAAATGGGGAAGGCAGGCACCTTCCCCAACCATAGCTACACACAGTGGCAGCAAAGAGCTTGGTGGAGGCTGGCTAGGCCACTTGATGGAAACAATGCATAAGGCAGAGCCGTGGTGGGTGCCAAGATGCTAAGAACTAGCCAGGACAGGCAGAATCTAAGTCTCTGGAGTATTGAACGCAGGCCAGG